CCCACGACAATTTTTCTATCTCTTCGTTGTCGTCTTCATCCAGATAGAAGGGCGTCTGAGTTCAACTCTTCAAATCGCTTCATCCTCTTGGGCCGGGCATTCCCTTCCGGTTTCGTAGGAAGTCCCATAATTTCTTGCATCATCTTCGAGAATTCATCCTCATCGAATGATACTTCCTTATCTTCACCGTCGCTACTGATATCGTCAGTATCAACGTCACAATCATCGGAGTCCGTCTCGTCGATAAGATCGGCTCCATCAAGGCCAGCGCGGTCGTCATTCAAAAATTGCTCGAATCGTTCCACTATTCTTTGAAGATTCTCTTGGGCAGCTTGGTCACCAAATGCGCCGGCAGATTTATCACTTTTGTCTGCCCCATGTCGCCCTTTCAGCTCCTGCTCGAGGTCCTCAAAGTTTATATCGAGCCACTTCTCGTCATCTTCACGTTTCTCCCAGGTCGATTCAATTTCGTCATTCGTAGGTAATTTGTCATCTCCAGATTCAATATCTTCGAGTATGAGTTTTATTTCCCTTGCTGCTACTTTATCCTGGTTTTGAGGGTCTGACAACAACATTTCGAATCCACTGGTAACCTTTACCCCCATTTCAGCGCGAGCATAATTCGATTTCGGGGTTTCAGGCGGTAGTTTGCCCTTCCAAGCTGGAGGTAGTTCAAAATCCTGGCTTTTTAATTGTGCGTACCCAACCCTCGTAAAGCGGACGCTAACGGTGACTAAATCCTCTGGTTTGAATATTAACGCACTTGTGTCCTTTGATTTTAAAGGTCTTAAGGATATCGGATCCCTAATATAGAACGCGTCCACTGCTGGGGATATATAAGCTGGTTTTATATGTAGGATGTACGCAAGTTTCCGCGGTATGGTAATTGGGGATGTGTGGAGGTTGTCAGCGATTTGCGTCGGGTAATTGCGAAGTCGATAAAACGCTTCAGCTTCTATCGTTGGTGAGTGCATTAGTCGCCTAGGATCTCCAACAATTATTTTCCTTGCCTCTCGGAATGTTAGTGGTTTAGGAATAGATCTCTTGTCTTTCTCTGGTTTGATGATCAGCAGTCGACCCTTATGAATCCAAACCTGTGAGATGTCAGTATGTCAAACCTAATTGGGGGACGATGCATTACCTACTCTATGATTTGCAATGTCCGGTTCAAGCCAGGATGGCAATGTTGGTGCGGCCTCCACCAGCAAAAATTCACCATCACTGTCTGAGACCTTCACCCATAAATCATCAAACTGTCGCGTCAACTCCCGCAATATATAGACAATAACCCATTCATCCTCTATTGAGTCTCCATATTCAGTTCGTCCGCGAAGTAAATTCAATCCTATCACATGTTCCCAGATGATATAGTTAGATGCCTGATATTTAATTGCCCTCTCTAAAGTTGGTATCAGACGGCCACAAGACGAACCTGCTTACCATCTTCTCTTATCATTTCCAACATAAAGATGTCGCGCTGCCATATATAGTCTTTTAAGAACGCCCTCACGAGCTCGGCTGCAGCTTTCTGCACTTCGGTGAGACGGTTACGAATTAAATCAGCATCTTCAGTGCTGTCGACGTTGCTGGTGGATACGCAATATAAGGAATATTCAATGCAATCATCTGGCAGTTGGGCCTTAGGAATAGGACGAAATGTAGACCTAAACCACTCGATATCCTCATCTGTAGGGGGCGCCATGTTATAACCTGGTTTTCTTGCCTTTTGGGCTTGAGAAATATTGCACCAACATCTCTTGGCCTGGATGCAAACCGGGCCGATGTTTTACCGCCAATACGGAAGTATGGAAAGACACTACACCTGATTAGGCTAGATGTAAACATCGCCAAACACGTCTTTCCACAGACAGCATCGCCGCATAATCATTTATCACTGAGCTTTTGGGAGGGCATTTTGACGTTCAATGATTCAGTCTGATTTACTTATAATGAAGATACGGCATGCCCAGTACGAATCAGGTTCACCAGCATCTATAGAACAAACATGGCGCTCCCATACATCGATACCCCGCGGACGTGGG